CAGTCTACAGCATAGCAGGCAGAGTTGTTACCCACTACAAATTATAAGGCTGCCATGACCCAGATTTGAACCGGGGTTGCTGCGGCCTGAACGAAGCACTAACCACTATTCAATCAAGGCTGTCCGCCACCAAATCTGACCAAATTTTTTTACAGTGGTGGTAATAGGAAACAGGGGTCGCCATGTCAACGACTTTTGTTTTAAAAGTATGTTTTAGGCCAAAACCTTCTCAAAACTACCATGTCTCAAACATCAGGAAGCACATTTATACCAATTTGATCTAGTAACTTTCTGTGAGGGATTTTAGAGGTGGACGTTTGGTTCCTATCACCACCACTGTGAACAACTCTGACTAGTTCATCAACATTTGAATCTATGCTAAGGTATTATTGAATAGAAATTATTTATATGACCAGTGATTCCAAACTTTTGAACGGTAGCGTATGTGGCTGTGAGTGTTTGTGTTAGAGCAAGACTCGTAAACCTTTGTTGAATTACGCTGGTCTTGCTAAGAATAAGAGAGTGAGTGAGTGAGTGAGTGAGAGTATGTTAGAATTGCAATTGAGTTTGTAGTCACAGGAATGACGTACAGAACTAACCTCATTTTATCATTTATCACATGATTTGATCAACACAGGCTCCCAGAGTTGCACAGACACTACCAGATTAAACCTATATTGAGACATTTGTTTAATCACTTCACCGTTTTGATTTCCGCTTCATAAATGAGGTTAGCGTCTGACTGCGCTAAGCTTCAGTTCAAGTCCTACTGTGTGATCAAACAAAGTGGCATCATCATAAGTGACACTCATTGGCTATTTCTGCTTTATGGCCCCACCCCTTGTCACTCCCCCAGACCCCATAAGCTCCTCCCTAGAGCTTTCTGGCTGCGAATCAGCTTGCGCCGGAGGGGTTAATTCACAAAGTGTCACGGGTGCGACCTCATAGTGACCCTGTAAGACAAGCGCTCCGTGAACTTTGTCCTTTCTATTACTTTTAGCACCTTTCTCATGTGTGAATATTACCCAGAATTCACCCCTGTTCCTCGGCAGCATGACGAGCATAAATGTGTATCTGAGTTCCATCCTGTAGCTTTGACACATGCATATTTCTGTATGTGTGTTATGTGTGTACAACGTTATGCACTCACCATATACTTTATTAGAGCATGTTTCTGCTCACAGGCCACTTTATTAGAAACACCCACCCTGTGCTTCCACTCACTGGCCACTTTATTAGAAACACCCACCCTGTACTTCCACTCACTGGCCACTTTATTAGAAACACCCACCCTGTACTTCCACTCACTGGCCACTTTATTAGAAACACCCACCCTGTACTTCCGCTTACTGGCCACTTTATTGGACACATCTACCTTGTGTATCCACTCAGTGGCCACTTTATTAGAAACACCTGCCTCGTCCTGACACTCAGTGGCCACTTTATTAGAAACGCCAACCTGGTACTTCCACTCACTGGCCACTTCATTGGAAACATCTACCTTGAACTTCCACTCACTGGCCACTTTATTAGAAACGCCTACCTTGTACTTCCACTCACTGGCCACTTTATTAGAAACACTTAAACCCCCTTAATTGACTTTATCAGAATTTTAATGTCAGTATAGAATTTCTTTTTTCACGTTTTTTGTTTTAATTTTTAAATGGATTTTTTTTATTATTATATTTTTGTCAAGGCTTCACCTGTGCTGCTCCCTTTAGAACTTTGTTAATTAATTTCTTGTTAATTCATTTCAGAATATTTTACAGCTGAAAAAGGTCTCAGATCAGCAGGGATATAAACAAACTGTCGAATGTAGTATTAATGTTTCTGTTTTTTTGTTTTTTGGCCTTTGTTGTTTATTATTCATTTACTTATTTTCAAATATCTACATACATTTCTGAGAAACTTTGCCGTCTCAATAAAAAAACAACAAAATCCATCTAAAAGTGTTGAATTTGATACCAGCAGAAGTTTTGGTGCAGCTCGAAATGAGACATTACCCAGGATTCTCTCTGCCACACAATCATTCAGTCTGTCACCATTACTGCTGCTCTCTCTCTCTCTCTCTCTCTCTCGTCCTCTTTTCACTCTGTCTTGGCTGTTGATCAAGCGCTGCTTTAGACCCCACCTGTTTGTGATCCTGTAACATCATAAATAACGTTTTTTGGGTCCGTCTTTGAAGCTGCTGCTGAGGTTCACTGCAAAAAGACGAGTGAAGTGTCCGGCGCTGCGAGTCGTCCTTCACCGCTGAACATGTTTTCCTTTAAAATACAATACGTCATCACCTGAATTTGGACGTTACACTCTTGAAAAATATGGCTCTTCAAGGGTTCTTCTGTTTTCACAAGCTTGACATCATAACAATAGAAGAACCCTTTTGGTGCTATATAGAACCATAAACAACACATCAATCTGAACAACCATTTCACCATGCAAAGAACCATTCTTATAGAACCTTTTTGAAAATGGTTCTGTGTAGCACCACAAAGCGTTCCTCTGTTGTTACAAGCTTGACATCATAACAATAAAAGAACCCTTTTTGGTGCTATATAGAACCATAAACAACACATCCTCCATCATTCTGAAGAACCATTTCACCATGCAAAGAACCATTTAAGCATGAAATGGTTCTATACAGAACCCTTGGTTCAAAATAGAACCTTTCCCTTTACTAAAGAACCCTTGAAGAGCCATCTCTTTTTAAGACTGTAGGTTCATCTGCTCTAGACGATGAGCCGCCCGTCATCTGCTCAGGTCCACACAGCGGTCAGCGGCTTTCACTCACTAACACAGACATGCGCTCGTCGCTGGCCAGCTGTGTGGATCACAGAGGCTGGCCGGCTTTGGAATTCTGGAACTTTGAGAAATTCTAGAACATAAACAGATTCCAGAGCACTGATGCATTCTAGAACATCTGCCAGGAATTCGGTCAGCCTGCCAGCAAGCGAGCTGGCCTGGCGCGAGTCCTCTGGCCCAGATGCTGGACCGGGCGCGTTTACAGATGTGTCATTCGCTCCCGTCTGTTTGCCAGAGCTGCGCGTTAAACCATATTCAGTGCGCTTTCCTACGCAGATGATTCATACGAGTTACTACGTCAGATCTGGAGGGTCTGAAGCTGTTTATCGCTGCGGTCAGTGGAAAGAATTAAAAAGACGTTCGCGCTAAAAGTCTCTGCTTTCATAAACGGAGCTCTGAGATTTTAATGACAGCGATATGGATGCCCCTTCCTGCCGGGTAGAGGAGAAAAATTAGTTTCTTCCCTCCCCTTCTCTGTTCATGGCAGCAATATGTCAATATTTTCACTTAAAATAATGACTTACTTTCTCAAAATATTCTTATTTTCTCAAAAGGTTGACAAATATTTTACAATAAATACTTCTTTTCACAAAATGTTGACTTGAAAATGACAATTTTCTCAAGAGTTTGAGTTAGTAAGACAAAATTTCAACATACCTTGTTGAAAAAAAAAGGTTCAAGAATGTAAGTATTTGATTTGGGATAGAAAAAGTCAGTATATCAATATATGAAGTGACTATTTTAACATAAGTCACTAATTTGAAATAGTAAGTCATTTTAACATGAGTCAAAAATTAGAGAAAACATCACATAAAAAGTAATCGAGTTGCTAAGTCATAGTTGTGATACAGCAAGTCATTACTTCAAGAAAATAAGTCTTTATTTTGACATAGTAAATTCATATTTTGAGAAAATAGGCCATTATTTCAATGTAAGTCAAAATCTTGAGAAAATTTTTCATAATACTAAGTCAAAATATTGAGAAAATCATTGTCAAGAGTCATTGTCAATATGCAAAGTCATTTTTTGGCACAGTAAGTCTTTATTTTGAGTAAATAAGTCATTGTAAATATAGATCGGGAATAAGAAGAAAACAGTTTTGAAATTGTTTTATTATCATTATTTCAACAACAGTCATTATTTTAAAATAAGAAGTTATTTTGAGTCAAAATTTTGGGGAAAAAAGTCATTCCTTTGAGATCGTTAGTTGTTATTTTGATATAAAAAGTATTTGAGATGTTAAGTCATTGTTTTGACACAGTGAGTCATTATGTTGAGAAAATGACAATATTTTGACAGTAATTGAATAATGTTTAAAATAGGTCATTGTTTCGATACAAGTCAAATCTGAGAAAATAAGTCCTTAATTCAAGATGCTAAGTCAAAATTTTGAGATAATCAGTCACTGTGTTAATTTACTAACTTGTTTTGATATAGTAAGTCATTATTTTGAAATATTAAGTCACTTTTATTATAATGATTATTATTTTGACGAGTCAAAATTTTGAGAAAAAAGTCATTCCGTTAAGATCCTTAGTTATTATTTTGCTATAAAAAATATTCATTTTGAGATGTTAAGTCATTATTTTGACACAGTAAGTCATTATTTTGAGGAAATGAGGCATTATTTCAACATAGTAATTGAATAATTCTGAGAAAATAGGTCATTATTAATTTGATACAAGCCAAAACTAAGTCTTTATTTTGAGATGCTAAGTCAAAATTTTGAGGAAATTTATTGCGTCGATATACTAATTTATCATTTTGACATAATAAGTTGTTATTTTGAAATAGCAAGTAAAAAGTTTGGAGGAAAAAAGTCACTATGTCGAAATCCGTATTCATCATTTTGACATGAAAAGTCTTTCATTTGAGATATTAAGTTAAATTTCACAGACTGCCGCTAAAACAGAAAGTCCTTCCATACAGCGATGGACGGTTTTGATGTCCTGCTCAGACACCCGGACACTCCTGTTCAGCAGAATCGTACACACAGTCCGAGGGGCGACTCCGGGGCCGGCCGCTTGTCGTGTAGTGAGCTTCAGCGGTGACTCGGTGACCCAGCGCAGTCACGCTCATGTGTGAGTGATGTCTGTTTCATGGTGAACAGTCCTGTGCTGTTGCTCCTCTGATGCCGTTTTTTCTCTTCTCTCCTCTCCTCCCCTTCCCTCCCTCCATCACTCTCTCTCCCCTCCGAGAAGCTCTCTCTCAAGCTGGTAAGCATGTGTCTGTCATAGCATGACCCGTAGCGGCATGACCGTAGCATGCTCGTCGCCCTTCGTAGTAACACACGTTTTCCTAACAATACTGGATGTTGTGTTTTTATTTCATTTGAATTTCCTTTGTGCCTTTTTGTTCGTTTACATTTTAAAATCTGCGCACTTTGGTTTGTTGTTGCTGTTGTTTTTTGCTGTCCTGCCACATTTTTAAGTACAGAAATATGGTGTTGTCTTATGTTTGCTTGTTTGCTTGTTTGTTTCTTTGTTGTTTTATTTTGTTTTGTCTGTCTCGTTTCCGTGGCGACCACCCCTCTGTGTAGATCTCGCTCAATGCCCACGTGCGGAACCTTATCGAGGTGATCTGAACCCCGTCACTGTCCTCTTGTCTCTTTCTCTGTTTGTCTGTTTCATTAATGACAACAGTAACATCATCTGTTTCTTTTCTTTTAATGTGAACCTATTAAAAACTGTTAATTGGCTGTAATTCTATCCTTCAGTCATTCTTCAGGCATTAATTAGACCTGTAGGAGTGCTTTAGAACGTAGTTCACCTGCCTTTCAAAATATAGATAGTCAAGTTTTATGTGATATTCACGTTTCATGCAAGGGGAATTCCACCAATTTTTCAAAATCCCCCCATAAGTCATTGATTGAGTCGTAAGCAGAGTGATTCAAAGTGGTTTGGCGTGAAATGGTTCAGATTTCTTTACAGTGGTGGTGATAGGAACCAGGCGTTGCCATGACTACAAAACAAACATAGAGGTTTTATTTACTATCCAAAACCACCAGTGAACCTACACAAGTCTTCTGAGCTTTAAATTAAAAATAGTGATAAATCTGATAAAATAAGGGACTATTTTGCCTCATGACACTCTGAATGTATCCCTCCACCATGACTGATATTTGGTTTTAGGCCAAAACTATCAGAAAACAGTGTCTCAGTCATCAGGCAGTGAATTCATAACCATTTCATGTAGTAACTTTCTGTGAGGGAGCTTTTAGAGGTGGACGTCTGGTTCCTATCACCACCACTGTGAACAACTCTGACGCAGAATTTCACAGCAAACCACTCTGAAAAACATTTCAACCATTTAATTATGCAGAAAGTTTTAAAAATAGCTGGAATTTCCTATTAAGCTGTACCATTACTAGTTAGATCAGTGAAATGAATGCAGTGAACATTGATAAGACTGACTGGTCAGTCAGTGCCAAGGGATCCGTAAAGCTTCTCCATGCAGGAGTGATGATCCTGTCATTAAGGTCTTTATTAATGAGAGAGGATTCTGATCCTAGATCAGCACTCCTGTTCTGAGAAACCTTATAGAACTCAATATTGTAATAGATTTCCAATAATGTGTTGCCCAGAAATGCAAGATTTTTCACTTAATGTGACAACGTAATAACGTTATAATGTAATAATAATCATTTTTTTTCATAATGGATGATGTAATGCTTTTAATAGCATTTGTCAAAGGCTCCTACAGTGCTTTCGTGCATTATGCGAAATGTAGAATATGGACTATGAATGAACACACGTTACATTATCAGACAAAATATTACATCATACATCATCCATATATATTTTATATATGTTTGACCAAGTTAAGTGTAAAATATTATTACATTTCTGGGCCTTATTACGTTATTGGGAAATTATTACAATATTTATGAATGCAAGCCCTGATCAAATATTTGAAATGCTTTACATGCTTAATTAAATATTGCAATCATGTTAAATTAATCATGTAAAAAAAAAATACAATTATATTTAATTAGATTCAGATCTTCGCTACTGTGCAAAATTCAGAGATCATTTATTTAATGTCCAGTCAGAACAGCCATTGATTTATTCATTTTTCAGGAGATGTTTCTGACTAGATTAGCTGTAAGAAAATCCACTTGCGTAAGTAAGGACAAAGTCAAAATGACAAACATGCGTTTCTAAAACTGGACTTTAAAACTGAAGATGGCTCCTAACAACCACCTGGAAGACCTGGTAGACCCCAAAACTGCCCCCATCAGATAAACAGCACTTAAAGCTTTCATCTTTGAGAGAGAGGAGAAAATCAAGCTGCTTCAGATCTGAAAACATCCACAGGTGTTTCTGTCCATCCTTCCACTGTGAGAAGACGACTCAGCGCTGTGGGTCTGAAAGGATGTGTAGCTGTCAAGCAGAACCTCACTGAGAAAAGGAGACGGACACATCAAACAAAGAAGCTGAACGATGGACTGACCACCCCAGAGTCCAGACCTCAACACCACTGAATGTGTTTGATTACTTCAGAAAATGATCAACCAGCTTCTGAGACTGAACTTTGGAGGCGCGTCTGCAGATTCTTTGAGAAACTGAAAGTGAGTCTCCTGAAAAGAACGGAAGCTGGAATGAAGGTGAAGAGTGGACGCATTAAATACTGACTAATTTGTTCTGCTTTTATCTTGTATCTAATCAGAAATATCTCCTGGAAAATGGATAACTTGCACTTAATGGCTGTTTTGGCTGAGCATTATAAGTGAGGAAGGGTGGTCTCTGACTCGTGCACAGTGCTGTACTGTAAATGTAAACATTACATTAGATGAAATGCATGTTAATCAGATGCAGGTGTAGAACGCGTCTGTGCTGTGTTATGTTTTGTGAGCAGTGGTAGCTCTGTGTGTTTGCATGGCAGCATTAGCGCTGAAATGGTTTTCGCATTGTGAGTGTGAGCGCACAGCATGCTCAGTCAGTCTGGTTAGTGATTGCTGCAGTATTGCATGGTGGATTATTGCATGATTAGGATTATTAAGAACATGTGATAAGGTTAATATACAAGCTTTTTTCCTCAATTCATATATTAATACTATTTAATCAAAGGAAATTTTTTAAAAAAAGCAAAACTACTGATGTGCCAAATATTTGACAGCTGCTGAGATGAAATATGTTGGACGACAGTTCCATTTTAGCATTTCAGCTCATATTTTAGATGGATAATGTCAAATGGCCAACTGTAGAAGTTGAGGGGTGGTTATTTAATAAAGAACTCCCCTTTAAAGTGTTGGGATATCATATATGAAGGGACTTTCATGTTACCTACAAATCCTGTTAGTCACTAGAAGATAACTGCTGCCACCTAGTGGCCGAGCTGATTTCCCAGCTCATGCTGATTAAAAGTGCAGAGGGTGACTCAGCAACAGCGTCATTACGGTAATGCAGACTGAAAACACAGAGGTCCATTGGCTGGGATTCTGAACAGTCACTATATATCATAGTCAATATTGTTCAAAACTGAAAATATATATATATATATATATATATATATATATATATATATATATGTATACACACACAATACTAATTGTCTAAAACGGTGCTAAATGGCTTCATGGCTAAATGGCTTCATTGGCTTTTTTGTTCTAATTATCCATTCAACCTTAAATGCAGCACTTATATTCTGGCACATACACAGCTGCCTGAATGTACCCACTGCACTATTTAAGGTGGAACAGGGAATTTGCTTGGGAAGCCAACATCACGACTTGTTTTGCGCACAAGGCCCCGAGACTGCAGCGTGGCCTAATGTAGCTGACCAAGTCTACCCAGCTCCTCAGCCTTTTCATGCTGATGTCCATGTTAGGCTAAGGCTAACCCCAAAGGTCTGGCCATTCCTTTATGTCCACTGCCTCACCAAAAAGTGGAGTAGAAAGGTGATGGAGCGTCTGAAATGTGACTGAAACATCCCTGACTCAGACACTCAGCTAAGCAGGCTAATGCTAGCATAGTTTGCGCTGTTATCTACACTTATTTGTTGCACACTGTGGCCCAATCCCATTACTTATTTTTACCCCTACCCCTTGTTTTCGAGAGTGTCCTTGTCTCTTGGAACTGAGTTACAGAGGGTAGTGGTTGAAATCTTCCCTCTGAAATGGGACCCTCAAATAAAAAGAGCATCACTTCATTAACAGCTACTAGCGCTGCTCTGTAGGCGACTTCAGTGATATGAAGCTGAAGTCAGATATTCTCCAGCTTCTCATTAGAATTTTCCTATTCCACCTTAAATGGAGCAGCTGTTACATTCTGGCAGGTCAGGTGTTGGTACTGCTGGACTGTTTAAGGTGGAATGGGTAATTTAGCTAGCTTGTACGTGCTTCCACATATAACTTGATGTTTGTAGTTCAGTTTGAGCCCCGTTTTAGCTGATTCTGATCCCTCTGATGTTGGTGAAGAAGTTCTTTTTGCCGGTACACACCCTGTTTATCATCTTGGTTGTCGCCTTGGTTGCATTCATGTTCACAAAAATCAAAATATCGCATTTGGTGTGCAAGACGTCATCAGTAATACACAGTGCTCGAATTCATTTACTGTCGTCCCATTGAATGGCACAAACAAAATCGGTGTGTAAAGGCTTTAAGGTCATTGCTTAGCTGCAAACTTCTGACCTCTGATCAGGTAATCTTTTTGATTGGCAACTTGAATCGAAATGGCCAGTTAAGCAGAGGAAGGAGAAGGCACAGGACGATACTGCACCTGAGAACAGACAGAAATGCAGTCATGTTATTTACTGTGTAGCATCACTGTCCGCATCTTCAACATCCTCATCACAGGCACGTATAATGACCCCTCAATGCCCCCCCTTTCGCCCCTATTTCCTCTCGCTCTCTCAGGGTGCGAATCCGGAGGACTTCAGTCACCTGCCTCCAGAGCAGCGGAGGAAGAAACTGCAGGCGAAGATCGACGACATCAACAAAGACATACAGAAAGAGATGGACCAGAGGTACACGCCCACACACGGACAGTATACATACAGATACATACGCAGAACCGACGGTCATATCTGAAAGGCCACGGCTGACAACTGATAATCATATCGGTCAGGAAAACTATAGGAGTCTGTGTAAATTTTGACCATGCAAAATTACATCAGCCAATGTTATCACATTTTTGGCTTCTTAAAATCGGTACTGGTGATGGATATTTCACATCTGCTGGGCAACAACATATCCCTAAACCTCATATCTCCAAAGTGGTAACTTTACAGGAGAAGGAAAAAACCTACTTTACTTCTAATGTAAGTCAATGGAACCAGACATTTTTCAGTGCATTTTTGTCCGTTTCTTTTGGTCTATTCATCATGAAATTTACATACAATGTAAAAGACAACAGACGTTTTCAAATTATGTGAAAAACCGAAAAACGTCAAAAATGGAGATACAAGGTTTTGTTCTAGATATAAAGAATGTGTTCAGAAATAAATTTGACATTCAATACTTTTTCATCTGTAATCAAACTTGCTTGAGTGCCTGTTTACACATTGCATAAACAGGCCTTTTCTGTGATCAGATCACAGTCAGACTTCACTTGACCTCATGAAAAGCCAGGTGTAAACACCCCCAGCATGCACTGTGAGCGGATTATGGTCAGATCACTCAAACCACATTTGGAGGCAGTCAGAGATGGATCTTAACCGCATTTAACTCGTGTAAACAGAATGTGTTCTTATTGTCCATATACAGTTATGTGAGCAGAAGTGCATCTGCTGAGCTCTAACAGGTGAGAGAATAAACAATGAAATGAAAGATGGAGGATACATGAGGCTGAAGTTCCCCCAAACCAAGAATCTTCATGCGCTCTGATGATGAAGGTGTCCAGGCCAAGCTCGTCCACTCTTATAACATCGGGGAAAAGAGTAAACGAAAGTAAAACGGGGCTGTTGTGTGTGTTTACGTGCTTTTTACTTGGGAAACGTACAGTTGGATCACCTCTAGTTACACTGGGTACACATTTTAGTCATTTACGTTTTTAAGCATAAACGGAATCTGGCCAAAGTTTATCTGGAAAGGAAGCACATGTTAACAGGTGTAAACAGGCTCAGTGATTTACAAACGTACTCGTTTTGTGGAGGCCATTAAATGTGTATAATTTGATTGTTGGTGGACAGACATAATCGTAAATGTGTGTGTGTGTCTCAGGGACGCGTTGACAAAAATGAAGGACGTGTATGTGAAGAACCCCCAGATGGGAGACCCTAGCAGTGTAGACCCCCGCCTTGCAGAGATCGGCCAACACATCGACAAACTACAGGCCGAGCTGCAGAAATTTGAGGTGTGCATGCTCACACACACACATCAGTGCATAACATGAAATAACTTGCCATATTTATGTACAGTTTATTTTATATACAGTATTATACCACAGTAAGTCCTCAACTCGCCGTGTGACTGGGTGAGAGGCCTCTCTGACCGAATCCCTTTAAAACTGCGCTATGTAAGTTTTGGGGATTTGGAGACCTCTCTGGTGGAAATGTGTAATTGCATGTGACGTGCAGAAGAACATTTTGTAATGTAGGTTGCGCATCAAGCCCCTTCACTGAATGTCAGTAACGGCAGTAATGCACAGGAGGTTGTGCTATACTACGAGATATTGGCCCTTTTGCGCTGATCTTCTCGGCCTTCAGCCTCGTGCCTCCTAAAGCGGCATACCAGCGCCAATATCTCACTCTCTTCTGTATTTTTGTTTAAATAGCTTATACAGTGTGAATTTAAATATTACAAACTATTTGTAGTTTCGAAAAGGTCATTCTAGACATTCAATATTTCAGGATTTCTGTGAGTAAAAATAAAATGCTAAGTACAGACCCAATTTCAAGTTGTAACAGTAGGTAAAATGCAAATAAAAACAGAAAGCAGTGATTTATAAATCTACTTTGACCTGTATTTGAACAAAAATATTACAAAGACAATATATGTAGTATTTTATCTCTTCAGCGACATTGTTTTTATAAATATATGCTTCTTCTAAAATGTATGCCTGCAAAACATTCCAAAAAAGTTGGGATTTTAAGACTAAGTTTTGGACATTGTGAAATGTCCAAAGCATAACTTAGACAGGTGATAATGCTTGGATATAACAGGAGCATCCAGGAAAGGTCCTTTCTAAGTGTGGATGGATCGAGGCTCACCACATTGCCAAAAAATGCATCAGTGAAATATCGAACAGTTTAAAAATAATTTGTCAGCGATGCTTGTGACCTTTGACCCCTCAGACAGCACTGCAGTAAAATCCGGCATTCTTCTGTGATGGATATCACCACATGGGCTTGGGAATACTTTGAAAAACTGTTGTCAATAAACACTGTTTGCCGCATCCCCAAATGCAAGTTAAGACTGTACTATGCACAGTGGAAAAATCAACAACATACAGAAACACCGCCGACTTCTCTGGGCTCAAACTCATCTGATTGTTCATGGAAATAACAGACGTTGTGTTCTCTTAGCCAAAGAAGAAAGAGACCGTCCAGACTGTTACCAGTGTAAAGCTCAAAATCCAGGGTCTATCATGGTATGGAGGGTATAAGTGGGTAACAAGCACATTTGTGAAGGCACTATTAACACTGAGCTGAAGGCTTGTATAACAAAAGACTGGCAAAAAAAAAATGCTTTCAAAACTGGATCAGTTTGTGCCTTCAGTGCCCATTTATTAAGTGCTGTTAAAAGAAAAGGTGAAACATCCTCCTGTGCCAACTTTTTTGGAACGTCCTGCAGGCATCAAATTTAGAATTTAGCAAAAATCAATGAAGTTCATAAGGTAAAATATGCAATGATGTGTTTTTGTACTGGTTTTAATTTAATACAGGTCAAACAGAATTTACTAATAACTGCTTTCTGTTTTTTTCAGCCTTTCACATACCGTCCACATACCGTCACATTAGAATCATTTCATAAATTTATCTGCAAACAAATTGGTTTAATATTAATAAAAATGTTGATTCAAAGCTTTTGAATGCTAGTGTGCACTATGGATGTGCACAGGTACTCCAGTTAAGCGTTCAAGGTGCTAGTATTCAAAAACTAAAGTCACTATTAGGGTACTCACTGCACAATTAGATCTCTTCTGGTTTCTCTTGCCCACGGTTGACCATATTACAGATTGCTGATCGTCAGATATCATAATTATTCACATATGCATTCCTTGTGTATATTTGCAAACAACAGAAATGCACGTATTCTGAGTGTATTTGTGTGTATATGCGTTTGTGTATGTGCTGCAGGGCTGGTTAGCGGAGGTGGAGGGCAGAATGCCGACGAGAAGTGAATCTTCTCACAGACAGAGTGCCGTTTATGAGACACAGAATAGCACGCCGCCCACCAACAACAGCTGCGCTCAGGACCGAGAAAGGTACCGTACACACATATAAAGACGTGTATATGAGGCTCTCTGATTGACATGCAGCCTGCAGTTAAACAGTTGCTATAGTTACTCTGTATGCATGTGTTTGTGTCCGTGCACATGTGTTCTCGCGTGTGTGTGATGGAGCAGTCCGGATGGCAGCTACACCGAGGAGCAAAGCTCTGAGCTCCAGCCGAAAGTTCAGACCGACCCGGAATTTGACGAGTTTGAAGAAGAAATGCTGCCCACCATCGGAACCTGCAAAGCTCTCTACCCGTTTGAAGGTAAAACATAAACAAATACATACAGATACATACAAAACCAATACTCAGTTGTGCACAGAAGTTGGAACTGAGAAATGCTGACAATAAATGCTGCTCCAGAGCTGCATGGGGCTCTTTTACTGGCCTGTTGTGGCTCCACAGCAGAATCAGATTTGTAGGTAAAAATAAAATAATCCTCCTTTACAGTAAAATAAAGCTCTGCTGATCGTTCAACACAGTTTAACAATAAATGGTCTTAAACTCTGGAGTTAATGTAGAACTGCTAATTCACCCTTTAATCCTGAAGATCAGCACAGATGGTCACCATAACAGCGCAGACAACAGTCTCGCCTAGCTAGTAGCTAATGAAAAGGCAAAGAGAAAGATTTAAGACGAACATCGATAATTTGGAGATGAACAGACTTATGTGCATCTTTAATCACTTCAGCTGGTTTCCTGATTCGTTTAATCTGCAACAAGAAACTGTCAAACACTGAAAAGTCACGAAGCTGAAGTCAGATTCTCGTTCACCAGCTTCGTGTTCGAATTTTCCTGTTCTACCTTAAATGACAGAATGTAACTGCTGCACAATTTAAGGTGGAGCAGGAAAATTCAAAGGAGCTAGCGAATGAGAATCTGACTTCAGCCTCGTAAAAACGTCGAGATATTTTACAAGAAACGATTCTACTTTTGAGGAAAAGTTTCCTACCAGAGATGCGAGAAAAATGGCTATAGCTGAGCTAAAGCTTAAAGCAGAGCAAAATAAGTCTGGATTTTCATTTATATTTTTTAGCCTATACTAGTACATTAACACATACTGAGACATATTTACAGCCAAGATGGTAAAATGGACATAAAATATTGTGGCTCGCAACGTGGCTAGATATTTGTTGAAAGGACAAAATGGCTCTACTTAAGATTTGTGTTGCTGACCCCTGTCCCAGGGCAGTGAATTCCATTATTTGTTGATGCTGAAGTAAGCTTCTCATTCAAGTTCACTTCTGTTCCACCTTAACTAGTGCAGCAGTTATATACCTTTATGTTACATGTCAGAATGTAATTGCTGCAACATTTAAGGTGGAACGTAACATTTGAATAAGAAGCTGGCAAAGCCAACTTTATACTATACATTTTTTAGGTAGATTTTGCTCTGTTTACGGTTTATAAATGTTTTCATCATTTCATAAACTGAGTGTAGAGACAACGTCAGCATGCACTTTCCTTTCTGCTTCTGTTTGGCTGTATTCTGCATATCCAGTCTTGTTTCTAGTGACAACAAACCTGCGATGAAGTTCCTGGGTGTTGTAACTTCTCTTGATGAACTGAGAAAATCTCGTAAATCTGTCCAATGTTTCCATTAAATACTCAAACATGGCTCAGATTTTTACTGTTGATCTGCTGCTGAAACTGTTTGAACATGTCTGCACTGACCGGCAAGTGAGAGTGAAGGAAACAAACAGCATTTTAGGTGTAAAGTCTTAGATTTTGACATGGTAGACCACTGATTTGTTTAGTTGCAGTTTAAATTTTTAGGCTATTTATACAAAAATTTGAGACTTTTGTTTTTCCTATGTCAGTTGAAAATGCCCCCTTTTTTTGGCCTAGTTTTAAGGCGTGTATGCGATGGGGCACCTAAGAGAGTTAAAGGAAAAGATCTAATGAACTTTACCCAAGTTATACACACAAACACGGCTGCTCTCTTTAATATTTAATATAATTGAACATACCTCTCTCCCTCTGTTTCTCTCTCTCTATCTCTCTCTTTTCGTTCACCACTGCAGGTCAGAATGAGGGCACTCTGGCGCTGGTGGAGGGGGAGGTGCTGTTTGTGATTGAGGAGGATAAAGGAGACGGCTGGACACGCGTTCGGCGGAACGAGGAAGAAGAGGGTTACGTTCCCACGTCCTATGTAGAAGTCTTCCTCGACTCCAACGCCAAAGGTACTCATGTAGCTACATCTGAGCTCAGGATGAGCTGTACATCTTCAACACCTTCTATAAGCCGAAGTCGCAAAATAGATGTGATCTTTAATGGGCCAAATTGGCATTTTAAGTTAGGAAAAATCAGCTGTCCAGTGACGTTGCGTTAGCGGCAGTTTGAAAGATGCGGTGGAGCTTCACAGGTCTTGGAGGAAGTCTGTGTCTTCACCCTCCTGGCGCTGGTGGTATCGTGTGATTGAGGGAGTCCTAATTGGAATTGGATGTGACTAAACTGGGGAGAAAATTGGGGGAAAAATCCAAAAAAGTCGTGTAGTATTCGCCCAGCCTTACCTGGTTCACGTTATTCACCTCATAATTGCAACACAGATCAGACAAGACAATAAATGGTCATTTTATGAGTATATTAAGATGGCTTGGGCATGACGCCAGTCAGACTTAATAACTGGACCTCTTCATAACCTCCAGTGTGGTTGTTGGGGTAAGAGAGTGATAAGGACCTACTGCTGGTCCACTATGTGTTTGATTACAGGCTTCTATCTGTAGGATTAGAGTTTGTGTACAACCCGTTCCAGAGGGTGAGAATGACTGCATCTGTGTGAGGCTACTTTACTAAAAACACTTGTGTGGCATCTTAAAGGGATTTCTGAATTTGTGCAGGACTCCAAACTTCTATGCTCAGTGATTACACTAGAATCTAAGGGCACTTTCACACCTTCCTTGTTTGGTGTGGACCTATCAAAGCTTTTTTTTAGTTCGGTCCGTTTTGACAGGTGTGAACACTCCATAAAACAACTGAATCATAATCCTCTTCCAGATTAACCCTGCTGGTGGGCTCACATTTCTGTCATGGTCTGCACCAAACGAGGGAATTCAACATCTGAGCATGTCTTTGCCTGCTTTTTCAGTGCTGTACTGTCCACATAATCTGCCTATTTTAAACGTTTGACCGTTGATGGACGCTCATATTGTTCCTGCAGCACAATCCCGCTACTAAAGCAATAAAAATAATAACAAAGAAATGCCTTTGATTTTGGCCCATGAATCATTAAATGTACCAGCAACCTGACTGATGACGATATTGGTAAACCACTCATAAGGAAAACAGCCTAAGGCCCCGTTCACACTTGGCATTAATATGCATTCTGGGTGATCTGATCATAAGTGGGCAGCGCTAAGAGTGTGAACGGGCTACAATGCATCCTGGAAACACGTGATTCGATCACCCAAACCACCTTTGAAAGTGGTCAGGGATGCATATGACCACTTGACGTTTACAGTGTGAATGCTAAGGCTAAGTTCACATTACAAGCCTCATTGCTCAAATCCGATTTTTTGCTCAGATCCAATTTCTCTGTAACGATGATTCACACTTGTTTAGGTATCTGATTCAAGTCTGTCATTAATGTGACGAACCGGTGTCCTGAAATGACCCTCATGCACACATCCTACTCAGTAACGTCACGTGAATGAATCACGTGCATCATCAGCACAAACTAACGAGCAGAACGAGCTTCGCTGAGAAGATAATTAACTCTGATCAGCTCTCAGCTTTATTATTAGAGCGAGACATTTGTCTCGCTCTAATAATAGATGTTTGTAACATCCTTTCTTTCATACGAACATGGACTCGCGGTACACTTTTGTCTGACAACAAACAAGTGAATGTGGATGGCCCCGTTGTTCCAGTCACAAATCCGATCACTAGAGACGCATGCGAGACGCATTGAAATGCCAGGTGTGAACAGCTACACTTCTCGCTATCCACTTATATCAGCTGTGAATACCAGGTGTGAACAGGGCCTAAGATTTCTCCAGTGTTATCCAGTCCAGATGGTGCATGAGTCTTAGTAACTCTGCATGGAATTTGATTATAACAGTGTTTTATACATCTGTACGCATGTGCCAACTCCTTCACCTCTGAAATTCGTAAGGTTAAATCTGATGTCTTTGCTAGAAGTGAATACCATTTTACTTTTGAGTTCATAAAAGTGCCTTTCATTGAAACGTTTCTGATGCAGCACCCCGACCTTGTGTGGTCTGATGTGTAATTAACGTTTCCACTTGTATTTAGAACATAAAACACACATTTAGATTACTCCTATGTTACATCCCATAGGTTCCAAGGAATATGGAACATTATAAATATATCAGAAAATGAGGCTGAGATCTAGGACATGGCAATGTGGTGAACATTCACCAGCCAAGCAATCTCCAGGCTCCGCCCATAAACACATTCCTCCATAGCAACTGCTATGAGGTTGGTCAAGCTTTAGAGGACATTGGCAAAAACGCCATTCAACCAATCAGATCAGTTTATATCACAGTATAGGTTCTAGATGTCAACCCGGGTAAGTGTAAGGTACAAACTCTAAAGTGCTAGATAATTATATTAGGTAACATGATGATTCCAAGACAGTATAACTAAATTACACCAACATGCCCAACAGGTTCTAGATATTAAATGAGTAAGTGTGTGGTACATTTTCCAAAGTACTAGATAACTTTCAGGTAACATGATGATTCCAGTAGAGCTCAACTAAATTACACTAAAATGCCCAACAGGCTCCAGATATTAACTGAGTATATGGTACAGTCTCCAAAGTACTAGATAATTATTTTGTGTTACATGGTGGTACGTTCTGAGACAGGTTAACTAAATTACACTCAAATGCCCAACAGGTTCTAGATATTAAGTAAGTAAGTGCCACACTGTACAATCTCCGAAGTGCTGTTTTCTAATTTTAGATTTAAAATTACGGTAAGTACCAAGAGAGTCTAAATAAATTACACTGAAATGACTATAAGGTTCTAGATAATAAGACGATTAAGTAAAATATCTCAGGAAAGTAAATCAGAAACTCCTCCAAGCCCTTTATAAGTTATATGGTGTAAAATAGCAGCACAAAATATAGTAAGAGCCCAGTAGAACCACAGTAAGAGTCATTGCTTTCATTTACATTACAGGTTCAGTTTAGTTGATATATATGTAAATATAAGAATCTGTACTTTATTCATCTACAGTCTTTGTACATCATATAACTGCCAACTAGCCCATTCCAAAGCTACGTGCATTAATATGAAGTTGAGCCCCAGCTCATTATCCCTCCTCCACCAAACTTTACTGATGGCACTATGCATTCTGGTAGGTAATGTTCTCCTGGCAAACCCATATTTATCCATTGTACTTTGGAGTTTATACCTCACACTGGGATGGTTATGGTAATACCTAGAACTTGGGCACTGTAAAAGAATGCGTTACCACTTTTCCTTTAATAAAACTCTTTTTAATTAAACTTTACGATTATGGTAGGCTACATGACCAAATATGAAATAATTAAGGTAACTATTAACTCTGAATTATATTCTGGTGAAGATGTTTGTGGCTTCTAACAACATTGTTCTTTTTTGTTTCTTTGACTGCAGATTCCTAAAAGTGTGAGAGGACGACACAGGGCAAGTGACCAGACCTGGAAAAAACACCACTCCTTAACTGAGAGAGAGAAGTGATGATGATGATGATGATGATGGACAAAACAGAGAGGAGAGGCGTAGCAGTCTGAATCTGTGTCTGCTGTAGAGAGTATCTGAACCATGCAGCCAATCAGAGACGAGCAAAATAATCCAATGCAAATGTATCACCCATTTCTGTTCATTACAATAAGGTCAATTTTTGTTTTCTACATGTACTAATTTCGCTTCTTTGCTATGCACTGACACCGAGCTGACTAGCAGCAATAACTGAGCTTCCGCCTGTATATGTGTGCGTGTTCACGGCCTGTTGGCTTCACGTCCAGCACCCTGTCCCTGAAACGGCCGGTCAGAAGCACCACAGAGGGTTACGCTGAGAAGCCTGCTCCGCCCCCAAAGCCACACTCGTGCTTTATTGAGTTACGAACAGCCATAACTAACTTCATCCATAACTGAATTCATTTATTGTTGGTGGTGGTTGGAAAAACATATTCTGCTCAAAATGTAAATGAAAATAATTCACTTTTGCTACTCACTCGTTTACTAGTTAGTTCAAAACTGTTAGTTATTTCCTAATCTGGGCCATGACTGTTTTGCATTATTCAGAGCTAAATAGTACAGACTGGACTTGCCCATCTGACAGAGCAAGGCCAACAATGTTCTTTTGGCTCACTTATGGATGGCTGTGGCATCACCTGACAATAGGCGACTGTTGCCCCACTTCACCACTTGGGAGGCCCTTTTATTTGTACCGAATGTGATCCTTTCTGACTCTTACTGTGTCCCTCTTTTCATTTTCAGTGGATTTCATCACCAAATTGCTAACAGTTTCTGTTTAGAACAGGTGCATTTCTCACGAATGTTAGAAGAGCAGTAAGAGGGGAGTAAGTGGGTTACATCAAGGGCACATGCTGTTCTGAATCAGGGCAGGTAACCCATCCTCTTTCTTTTTATTTTGTTTATAAACAAGATCAGCATCCACTAACCTGCAAGCCTACGTGGGCATATGAGACGAGTGTACCAGGGCTGCACGATACCGGTTGCCAGAAAATATCACCACAGAATAAATGAACGAGCCCCATAAATGTTTGATTGTGTACTGTAAACGTCCTGACCAGATCACGGTTAGACGAAACCAAGGCGTTCATCCATCCAATGCAAATCATTTTAGTGGCAATAATGCCATAAGTCATCAAATCAGGGCTTTGACATGAGGCATACCGAAATCTCGATATGTAGCGCTAGTCATGCCACCCTGTGTTAAACCTGCTGCGCTTCTGCTTTCAGTGCTTCATACTTTCAGGCTGCTTCAGTGGCGTGCGCATATATGCAAACACTGTTAATTCACGTGTATTTTTTTTCCGGTCCTTCAGGTGAGGGAGAGTGCATTCTGTTTAAGAATGTGAATGAAGTTCTGTCATTTTTTGTATGTGTTGCTAATGACGGCCATATGGTGGCCACTTGGTCTTATCCTGTGGATTTACTGAGCCCATTTTGAGCCGCCTAGAACACTGCAAGTTTAGTCCATCCGCTGCTTTGATAGCAAGACGTGTCTGAATAGCAGCGCTGACTTAGGACCGGTTTCCTCCCTTTCAGCTTTCCTGAAAGAGCAAATGGGAGCTGATCCTACATCAGTGTTTTTACTGAAGGTTCTAGCAGCTAATATGAAGCGCATGGTTCATTTATACTGAGATCTGTGTGAACATTTTAAGCATTTCAATTGGAGCCTGCTAGGCCTTACTGGGTGGTAATCTTACCCTAGAGAAAAAGAAGAAAAACAACACACAGTGTGGGTCCATGGCTTTATTCTGTAGTATGTGTGACTGTAGACAAATTTTGATTTGCTTCCTGGGCCTCTCCACATTTCACAGGAGGCGATTGTTGTTTTTCGTTGTTCTTTGTACGTCTTCTACGTTTGTCGCAAATCTCACGTGGACTACTCACCCCGCTCTCTATGGCACATAACTGATTTTAATGTTTTGATTTTAACTTTCTTACTTTATATTTTACACTCATCGTGGGTCAGAGATATTTAAAATATTTTTATTTTTTAGCAGTTTTTATTTTCTTATGCTGATTCAATTGCACCTGATTTTTTTTCCAGGTCATTATTAAGGTTGGGCGGTATATGGGTAAAAAGATATACCGCAGTGTTTAAATATGACGGTATTTAAAAATCATGACGTGTCAAATTTCTATTCCATGTCAGAATGGCTAAAAAACACATTTATGTTTTAGAGGGGTCACTGATGAGGGGTGTTAATAGAAAGAGGAGAAAATCAGAGGCAGGAAAATCCTCAGAGAAAACATGATAGCAGCTCAGCGACAGCTAATAGCTCCACTTACCACAGAACACGTTCAGCTTTCACGCTAACACCACTTACTCAACCCTGCCATCTCAGATATCCTCTAAACGGCCCTCATTTTAGCTTCAGTTTGCTGGAACTGAGCCTGTGGTGTGCTGTGTGGCACATTTAGCCTGCTAACTAAGCTTTAGTTAGCTTAGCCAAATGCTACAGTCCCAAACACCACAAAACAGGTTCCAGTTCAGCTTTCTGTTGGATGTTTTCACTTTTACTCTCTCGGAAATGAGTTTTTATCATCTACACTTGTTTCAGCAGAGCAGCAGTTGGTCAGAATCAGCGTGTACTGTGGTGTGAGGCACTGTTTGGGTCTGTAGCTGCTTGCTAAGCTAACGTTAAGATATTGCAGATCCAAACACCACAGAACAGGTTAAATTTCTCCTTTCTGTCTCTTCAGCGTCAGTTGCTCGACTTTACCTCCTCAGATTTGAATCATTATCATCTTGTGTTGGTGCTTAATTTAGCCAGAATCCAACATGTTCTGTGAAGAGCAGAGCTGTTATCATGCTAGATAAGCTAATGCTAAACGGCTCCTCTCTCCTAGTTAGCAGCACGGTTTAACCTTCAGCAGTTC